TTACAAATATATGCTTGAAATTTACATTCACGTGTGAATTGTTTTTGCAAGGGTTTAGGACGCCAGGAAAATAATATAGGAGATAATATGTACAGAAAAGCAACCTTGATGATGGTTGGATGGCTTCTCCTGTCAATGTCGACAAAAGCTGCAAAATCTCCGGTAAGTTCACATGGCACAGATTTCTGAGCAGCTTCCTCAATCTTTTGGCAGAGCCGTCTGTATTCGTCCTACATGGTAGAGTCAAAGAAGTAAGTTGTCTTTACTCCATAATTTATGTGATTCATCAACCCTTTCTTTAAGAGATTGTTTCCCTTTTTGCCATTTTTTCCGTTCTTTTTTTTTTTTTTTTTTGGCATCTTGCATTTTGTGCCTTTCTTAATTTTAGTTATACTTTCTTCGTTTGCACGATGGAAATGTTACTTTTACTTATAATTGTCAAAATCGCGATGCGAATTGTAGGATCGTACGATCTTACGATCCAAATAATCAAAATCGATCCGAATCGTATATAGAGTCGCAAATCATATTAATCTATGCAAGATCGCGTAGGATCGTAGTAGAATCGGTAGGATTGTATAGGATCGTAGGATCGTACGATCCTACAATTTTTTATAATTTTGTGAAATACAAGGCTCCATTTTACAAGTAAATGAAAATATGATCCTACCAAAAGCTCCTAATTACAATTAAAGACTGCAATTCTTTGATAAATTACAAATATACCACAAATTTCTACGATCCGATTCTGTAAAATTAAAATCGATCCTCCGTAGGATCGTGATTTTACAAACCTTGCTTTTACTATCGGACAAATTTACACAGCCACATCTTTTGACTTTTCTGTACTTTTTTTCTCTTCTAAAATTCCCGCAAAATGGAAGACATTTAACCCTTTTTTGTTCTTCTCTTTAGTCTTTACTCTCCTCCATCAACATAATTTTTTATCTCTTAAATTCACCAACTAGGCCTAGTGTTTTGCGTTGAAAACTAACATACGGTACAAAAAGTGAATTTGCCTTATATCTTTTACTTAGAATTTAATCGGTAAAATATTCAGGAAATGATACGGATTAAACTATTAAGAAACTGTAAATCCCACACTCTCTCATCATCAAGACACACTAGAAATCACTCAACTCTAAAAGGTTACAAGAGGAAAACACTCAACTTCAGAGAGAGAAACTTACTGCCATTTTGTTCTGTGACTTGACTTCAAGTTCTTAACTTCCATTTTCAAAAGCCAAGGACCAGCTAATTTTTCTAAGTTTTTTTTCTCTGAATCAATCTAATTAAAAAAGGATACCAACTTAAAATTACCTTCATTATGTTCCAATCTTCTTGGAATTCTGATGAACTATTTCCGGTGAACAAACTCTGGTCGGAGAAATACCGAAAAGGAGCTCTAACAGGAACATTATACTTCTTACAAAATGGAATCCAAAGCTTAGCAAACTCGGATGCTTCCACGAGACAAAAGTAAGTAAGAGGTGAAGCTGCATCATCAGACAAATAACATGCTAATTTGTTGGCTGGATAATCCATAGATAAGAGTGATATTACTGTGTTAACAGTAATAATCGGCGGCTCCAAAACAGGATCTGCTGTTGTTACAAACATGTCCAACGGGGGCAGCTCCAAATTCCTGTTATCCCACCAAAAAACATAGAAAAAACACACAAGTAAAAGCAAAAGAATCACAAATCAAGAAATACTATTCATATATGTATTTAAGGGCTTAGCTAGGCACCGTTGCAAAAGGCGTTCGGGGTAGGTTTTGATGGCAATAGGGTTCCATTTGATGTTGACGACAAGAATCCAAATAAAAGTGAACCATGATTCACACAAAAGAGCTACGAGCCATATGAATCCATGGTTTTTCAGATGGAGAAGGCGATAGCCAAGAAGGGAAAAGCAAAGAAAAAGAATTGTAAGTTCAATTAATCTTGGAATGGTGTTTTTAAGATGTTTTCGTTCATAGAGAGGAAGAGCTTCTGTTTTGGACATTGCAAGGATAATGGCGGAGACTTCTAAGATGGCCTTAGCAGATGGTGATGGAGTTTGTTTTCACCACTACGTTTTAGTTGTGTTGATAGGCCATATATTATTTATAGTTGTTTTTCACACTAGCATTTGCTAACTTTTTTTCCAAAGAAGCAACCCGTAAACCGCTAAATTTAGCTAGATAGCTCAATTCGTAAGGATTCAAAATAATATTTGAGGTTTTTGACGTGAATGTAATTTTATTGAGATGAATTAGTTTGAGGTGTGCTTAAATCGAAGAGAAATCATGATATAACACACTAATGATGTCAATTTCCATTTTGAAGTATTTGTTAGATTTACTTTACAGCTTATACATTATATTGTACAAATACAGTATACTAGTCAAGTATAAGATGTCAGTCATTAGCCCCGACTGACGGTGTTTTGCATAATGAACACCTTCATGTCCAAATGCTGGTCTTGATAGCTAGTTTAACATTTTTCCCACAACAAGTGAGACGTTGTACGCAGCATATGTGTGTTGTAATATTGATTGGACAATCTCTATTTACATTGGTCCTACCATTATGGGTTCAAGTTGTAATCTTGCGCTCTTGTATTTCTATTTTAAATAGTTCATGTTTAGAAAAAAATAGTTTGGCTAACGAGTGCTCAATCTCATTGAGAAATTGTTATGAGGGTCTCAAGTGTTGTTTTTTTTTTTTTTTTAAAAAAAAGTGTAGTTAATTTAGAAAAGTATTTAAATGTGGGAGAGCACTAACTGTAATTATGTGTATTCACGTGTTAAGTAGAGTATAATTTAAAACCTCTCACTTATAAAAAAAAAGTACAAAAAAGAGTAAAGCATATAATTTGGATATATTAATGAATGTCTACTAAACATCCGTTAGAAGAAAAAAAAAAGAGAAAGAAATGAACAACATTTATTCTGAACAATTCAAGTGCTATGCTCCAAGAACTAATAATGTTTAACAGGTATCTTCGTCGATGTGATTAAAAATAATTTAAGTCTCTCTAGACATTAAAAATGCAAGATGTAACCAGTTTAACCAATCCAACAGAAATAATACGAAATGTAGCAGATCTGCAATAAATAAAGATGAATAGCTGTGATGAGAGCTGCCACGAGAGTCAAATCGAGTAAATTAACTAATAATTTTTGTTTTTTTTTTCTGACGAAGTGGATGTGTGGGTCAATTCTTACGGGGCCTACTAATCTCACTTCGGCTCGGGTGGAGAGATCCCATCCCCCGAACACGTTAACAGCGGGACTCGAATCTTGATTGTCAGGAAGGTCGTCATACTCTAAAAAGGGAGAGCGGACCGCTCCAACTACTCCGCGGGCAACTAATAATTTTTGGTTGGCTGCCCTTAATCTTCGCCAACTTTGGATTTTCTTCCATGGGATGGGACAGATCGAATCCGATATCATCAATAATTAATGGGAATATTCTTCACTAAGCTTTACAAAATCATATTAATTAATCTGTGGGCCCCGGTAATAGTCATATCATAGCATAAATTATTAACAGACGATAAATTGCACCAATCATATTAAAATGACATGAATAGGATCTCGTTTTAACGCAAAGATGTACAGAATCAAATGATGGAATGCAATACAATCTACGTGGCGACTGCCAGAGATACACATTACGTAGTTGGAGAATCAAATCCTAATTGCATGATTCAGCTGATTATATTTCTCCTTCATTTGTATGGAGCAGACATGAAAGTGATAGAATCATACAATTAGGATCAAATGCACTTTCATTAATTATATGATTCACCCAATTATATGATTAGTCAATAGGCCCATAATCAATAGACTTATTAATGACTAATTCATGATTATAGGCCTATTGACTAATTAATGAATGCTCCGTACATTAATTGCATGCCAAGTGTTGGATCAAATTTACTTGATTAGTCAATAGGCCTACCTACCATCAAGTGAATTCTAGGTACTTACCTACAATTAATATATATTCACACGGACAAGGGACACAAACGGTTGTAGGTGCAACCGTTTCTGTCGGTTGTGTGCATTTTTTATTGTGCATAACTTTGATTGCACACGGTGTAACTTTCTTTCCATACGATGTAACTTTAGAATAAATTTTTGTGGGTCCCACACACGACGTGAAAATCGAGTTATAAGATGTGATTTGAATCGTACAAAATTTTTTGGCCAAATCATGACCGTCAACTGCCAAGAACGGTTGTCTCCTGCCCCATTTCCCACACGGACAAGGGATGAAATAGTGAACAAATGCACATTCATAGTGAGAATATCAAACACTTGGCATGCATTAGTATAATCAGCACAAGGGACGGAGAATGCAAAAGTCAGCAAACGAATCGGATGCATCAAAGAGCAACAGACAGTGAAGGCGGGTTGTTAATATTTGCGATACTAGGTGTGTTTGCCCACGCGATGCGCGGGCGCCAGGTTAGTGCAATTTAATACTGGTTAGTCTTAGTATTTAAAATCTATGACTTTAAACTTTTTTACCAGTGTTTGGAATGTACACTGATATACTTATGTAGTGATATTATTTATTTAATTATTGTGTTAAATTTTTTGGTGTATTTATTGTTTTTTGTTTTTGGGGTTACATTTAGTTTTTTTTTTTTTTGCAATTGTATTTATTTTTTTGCTTCTTTTTTTTCTGGTTGCAGTTGTTGTATTTAATTTCGTTAGTATTTTTTTGTTGTCTTTATTAAGTAACAGTAGTTGTTTTCATTAATAGGTAAATAAGAGTTGTAGCTTATTTTTTTTGGTTTGAGTTTATCATTCTTTAATTCGGAATTTATTGTTTGGTTTACGTGTGCGTAGTAAGTCTACGTGATATTCTTTAGCAGCAGAGAATTTTTTCTGCTATTCACATGCGTATAGTTCATATTTGTTTGAAAATGAAACGTGGAGTATAAGTATGAGCTGGTTTGTGGAGTTTAATGGTCTGTGTCATGGAAATACAGCTACAAATAAAGGCCAGAACCACCAGATGGAATGAGATCTTTGATGAAGTGATAAGTCTGTCCTTGGACTTTGAATGTATAAATGCCATTAGTTCTTTTGCAGAGGGATTTATCATAATGCACTCCAAAAAATGTGAAGCCAAACATATTGTTGTACGTCCTGACATATGTTCTGAAAGAGGCAGCTTCATCGGAACGACCAGTATATAATTCTATCAGAATATCTGGAAGTTTTTTTTGCTGGAGAACTACTTCGCCGTCAGAACAACAGAAATTTGGTGTTTCAGAATGGAACTTTTTTGCTTCATAGTAACTGCAATGTGGTTTTGAAGGCAATATGTCTGGTTCATCGTTAATGAACTTCAATGCTCCAATTCCATCTGGATTTTTTCTCCCTACAATACATTCAATGTAATTGTAATTATTGAACAGAATAATAGAAGTTTAGAACAAAACTGTGGGTGTACAGTGAACTATGTTCACAATACCTTTTGGTCTCTTAGTTGTCTTATGAACGGTCTAAGCTTTTTGCAGCATTGATTTTCTTTTGGCTGTACATTTGTTAAGAAGACATTGTGAACGTTGAGAAATACATTGATGGTATAGTGGCTATTACAATAATAAAAGTTGGTAACAGGGGATAAGTTATTCCTCCATTTTTGTTAGCAGTAGATCCTAGGAACTGTCGAGTAGCCTGATATCGTGTAACAAGTGATGACAGTTCTATAAAGAGGTACCCCTTGTGTCAGTTACAGTACACAAATTTAATGTAATTTAACAAGAAACACCATGTATGACGATACTGAAATATCAAATACCTGGAACTTGTTCAATACTTTCTGGAAATAAGTTGTAGCAACTCATACAGACAAGTGAGTCAACTGTTGATTTAAGATAAACAATAAATGGATAAGTATGAAGAATGTGGTAGGGAGTCACATGTTGGAAAATAGATTTCTATGATGAATAAAACGTGGAAATATTTAATACAAAGTTAGTTGAAGTAGTAGTAGACCTGCAGTATATGGAGTAGTATAATGTGAGCAGGCATGCTTGTGGATGGTGCTTGACCAACTACCTGCGGTTGAAGAAATTTAGAACAATACAATGGTATTCTGAAGCAACAGTTATGTTAATGATAGTAATACATGCTCCGAACATTCATGTGTATCACGAATAAACAATCTTGATAATGGTACCACATAATCAAAATCCTACAATCTCAATAGTCAATCAAAAAACTTGGACAGATTAGCAAACTAGTAATGGTCCCAAGACTGTCGGTCTGTGTTTGGATGGGAATATTTGATAAAAAATTACTATTTAGTTACATTACATACATAAGTTTCAATACATTTTTTTATTTTTTTAATTATATTTTTATCACACATACATCACATTACCAAAAATACTATAATAATTATTTGAGACACTCTCTTATCCAAGCATATAAATAGTATTCATCCTCCAAAGAGTTTGTCTAACAAAGAGCCTAGCTTGCCAAAAAGAATTTACACTCTCAAACAAATTTTATGTAATACTCTACGTTAATTAGACTCTTTCCTTTTTACCAAAATGTTGTTCTTAATTATAGTTTCCGAAAGAAACCGTACGACTTGTTTACAAGATTACACATTAATTGTGAGAAGTTGTGACTTGAAACCTTAACAAACTGTCTGAGTTCAATCTAATTTTTGAAACTTAGGATCGTTGCTGGCATATACAATTAACTCCATATAACTCTGCCTTGTCCTTCAAATGCGGTCATAAGAACCTACCAAGGGAGGACAATAGTAATGCCTTTTGGAGTAGTCTGATAGGAAAATACTAGAGCAATAATTATGCTACTCAAAACTTGGAATTTTGTAAGGCAAAAAAAAAGTTATTTCATTTATTCAATACCCGAGGTAAAAAATGTTATTCAAAATTTTGGCAAAAAGATCTATGTTGCTCAAGGGGAAAACAATATTTCAACTCATACCATGCTTTCTGGAATTACTCATATTAATTACATCTGAATTAACATGAGCAAAGGTCAAGTTTATTTATAAGATACTTACATATAGAGATTCATCCTTAAAGTAATTAATCGTTTGTCTATTGCAATATTATTGTGTTAGATATAGCTCCCTCACGTGCCTAAAATTGCTGAGCGTGCAAAGTTTAAAAAAAAAGGGGGTTATCGGTTAGACATCTTCATTAAAAACTTGGTATGCAACTGAATATTGTCATTTGCCAATGAGGACTTAGTTTAATTTTATGACATTAATCAAGGTTGAGTTTCAAAAATTAGACGTCTTTGAGTTCATGTCTATTTAATTGTAAGTTTATTTTACTAGATCCTAGTGTTTATCTAGAAATTTTAGCTACAATAATGTTGTTTAAATATAATCTGAATAATATATTAAAAAGTAAATAATCATGTTCAAGAAAACGGTATGAATGTTGAATCAAACGCTTCCATATCCATTAGATTCTTTATAAAAATAATTACTTGTGTCTGATTTGATCGTCTTGTGCGCAGTTGAGAAAGTTTGTATGTTATCGCTGTTTTAGTATTCAGCTGCATCCAAAAAAAGTAATCAGCTCAACAAATTAAGGTCCTTTGAATAATACTTAATATGAGATAACCAAAATATTTTGCATGAATGATACATCTATTTGAGCATGCACAGGTAAATCATATTGCTTTGCTTGCTCATACATACAGATATCAGTAGGGACTCGAAGGAACTTTCTTACTTAAAAAACATATTCGAAGATTTGAAGGCATGCCGTAATTATGCCTCCTCACTTGGTCCCTTTCTCCTTTTGTTCCCTACTCTCAACCCATCTCCCTTCTACCCTTTTTATGTTTGTAAGAGTTGTAGCTACCAGATGATTATTACTATTTAAGTTTATTTTTTAATCATAATCTAGTCCTTAACATTAACAAATCTATCAAAGCCCCTACATTCTATTTGTTGTTTATCACCAAAAATCCTGAATATAGCAATCCAAGCAGTCACACAAGACTCCGCTCAGCACACATAATTGTATAAATAAATAGATACATAAAAATCAACAAATTATGTACGTGCCCTCACACATTTAATGTCATCTCTGAGATTTACAAACAAAAGTCATGTACTTACATTGTGTACAAAGTGATTTATATTACTTTTTTTTTTATAATAGTGATTTATATTACTAAATGAATGACTTATAGTTTGTTCAAATAAACATAACTAACACGACACGGTAGTATCAACAATTGTCCCTACCTTCTGCCGCGTTCTCTTTGGGATTTGGAAAGTCATCCAAATTCTGAGGTTGGTGGGCATTTTCGGTTTCATCACCATTCTTTAGACATCTCTTCCAAATAGCCTGTAGCTTTGGATTCTATGGCAACAATTATAGGCGTCAAATCAACCCATTTGATTAAATTTATTCATATCCGTCCACGAATAGATGGATATGGGTATTTTTAATTTTTGTATATGAGTATAAATGGGTAATAAATCGATATTATTGGGTAATCCAATTAACCCATTTAGAATTTCTTCCCCCAAACCTCCTCTCTTCCCCATCTCATTTTTTTTTTTCAGATTTTTCATTTTGTTATGATGTTAACTACTTTTGTTTCATTATTATTATTATTATTATTTGTTAGTTTTATCTTATCATTTTATTTTCTCTTAATTTATTAACTTGCTTATTTTTCAGCATTATCAATTTACGATAAGTTTTAGCTTCTTTTCCTACCTCTCCAAAATGAAAATTTAAATTTACACATGAAAAAAATGTTAGGGGTTCAAATTTTTTGGATTAAGTTTTTGTGTTAACTTTTATAATAATTAGTTCAAAATTTTATATTCTTATTATTTAATTATTAAATAGTTTGTAATTTTGCGACATAGAGTACCGATGGAAAAAAAATTGATAATTAGGCTTATTGAACATTATAAGTAAATATTTAAAACTAATGATGGGTGCAAATGGTGGTATAAGTTAATAACTTAGTTTGTAAAAATGAATTTAAATGAGATTACAAAAAGTTAAAATAATTGGGTTATAAATGGGTAATTGGATTATCCAATTTATTTTTTGATTTATCCATTTATTCTAATCTAATTAAATGGGTATAAACAAATTGACTCACTTATATCCATTACCTATTTTAACTAACCCAAATCCGTCCAAATCACTCATTTTGATATCTCAAGCAACAATGACAGACTATGAATTTCAGGATATTGAGTTTGCACCACAGGGAGGGGAGAAAAGAACCACTGGGGCTTGAGTGGACTTGCTATTTGGCTCATTGAAGCTTTGTTAAGGATTTCGGGCGAAAGTAGAACAAAATTAGCATGTTTGTGATTTTTACCCGTTGAAATTTTTCGAGACGTTGGTGACTCCCCGCCTACGAAGGTTTGTTGAAAGTTTTGTTATTTTGGCCCGTTTGGGACTTTTGTGAATTTGGCCCATTCAAGGCCTTGCAATTTTGGCCTATTGGAACCTGTTAGGCCATTTGTGATGGTTTCAACTTTGTTTGTTTTTTCTGATTTGAGATAAAGTTGAGAGGATAGGATTGACTTTTATAGAGAATATGAAATAAGTATACTCATTATTAATATTGAAAACATGTTAAGACGGAGATTTATTGAGTTTTTCTTTATATTCCACATCGAAAGTTTTACAAACAAATCAAGTTAATATGGATGTATGTCAATTTTACCAAATCAAGTTAATATGGTGTCTCAATATTTGTTTAATTTTGATTTGTTATTGTTTTTCGGGTTGTCAACAACCCTTTCATCAATTTCCTGAGACCAAGCTTAACAATAAATTTCAGCCTCTAAAAACTCTAAAATAGAAATTAAGAAACTCATGCGAGAACATTATTATTATAACACACCACAATGACTCTAAGTCAAGTTTCACAGTTTAATTCTTCTCATTCAACTGTTGCATGAAAACATGAAGTTATTGACCGTGATCAACCCTTAATAATTAATCATAAGGACAATCTCTTTTAGTGTTTAGAGCTAAGGACTTCGGTGTTTGTGTTGCCTAGTGTAAACTTAAAATGCTTCCTCATTTTTCTATCAGGCAAGAAATTAGTTTAAAATTGCCAGGATATAACAATCTATTTGATCCAAATATATTTGTTTTGTTCAGTTTGACTAAGTTGTCCATTTAGTTGCCTAAAAAGAGTTAACCATTTAGTTTACCAATTGAGAAGCCAAGTGTCAAAAGCTAAGACAATATAAATGAAATGAAAGACAATACTTAAGTTTTTCTGATGCAGCTTTGTACATGTACTGAAGATTGATGCCAAAACTAGTCAAAAATGGATGCAGCTGAATCCTAAAACAGCGATAACATACAAACTTTCTCAACTACTCACAAGACGATCAAATTGAACACAAGTAATTTTTTTTAAATAAAGAATCTAATGAATATGGACGCATTTGATCCAATATTCATACCGTTTTCTTGAAAATATTGATTTACTTTTCAATATGATTACATATTATCTATAAGGGT